AAAATCCATAGAAATGCTATCCCATTTCCATTCTAGAATACTCAACGGTTGCATCAAACCCGACGGACACTGATGTTCAATCTTCGACTTTTGACAAGTTAAACAAGCATAAACAAATTCAGCAATTTCCTTCTTCATACTAGGCCACCAAAATAACTTCTTCAAGTCTTGATACATCTTTGTGGCACCAGGATGAATACTCAACCCGCTTCTATGACCTTTTTCAAGAATGCTCTTCTTGATTTCTGGCACATCGGGAACATATACTCTATCTCGGAACCTCATCACACCATTCTCATCGATCTGAAAATCACCTCTGTTACCTTGATTAATTAACGTGAGACACCAAAATCAAATCAGATCTCTGACCTTCTCTGATCTCTTGGAGAATACTACTAGTCAGCTTCAACATGCGCAATTTCACACTGTTAGGAGTGTCTTCACAAATCAAAATCATATATCTGAATTGCTCAATCAGTTCCAACTCTCGAACCATAAGCATCGACATATGCAAGGACTTCCTACTCAACACATCAGCCACAACATTAGCCTTACCCTTATGGTAACTCAACTCAAAATCATAATCCTTCAGAAGTTCAAGCCATCTTTGTTGCCTCATGTTCAACTCTTTCTCATCAAACAAATACTTCAGACTCTTGTGATCACTGAACACTTCGAATCTGGACCCAAATAGATAATGTCTCCAAATCTTTAACACAAACACCACAGTGGCCAACTCTAAATCATGCGTAGGATAATTTCTTTCATGAACCTTCAGTTGTCTGGAAGCGTAAGCAACAACCTGACCGTTCTGCATCAATACGCCTCCAAGGCCCATCTTCGACGCATCACAATACACCACAAAGGACTCACTCGGATTTGGCAAAATCAACACTGGAGCAGTCGTCAACTTCTTCTTGAGTTCTACAAAACTCTTCTCACAAGCAACATCCCACACGTAAGCTTGACCCTTTCGAGTCAACTGAGTCAATGGCAACGCCAACTTAGAAAAACCTTCAATAAACCTGCGATAATAACCAGCCAACCCAAGAAAACTTTGAATCTCAGTAGCAGACTTTGGAGCCTCCCACTGCAACACAACATCAATCTTCGACGGATCAACAACAATCTCTCCACTAGAAATCACATGGACAAGGAACCTCTAATGCGTGCCACATAACCTTAGCAGTCTCACAATGAGAAATGTGATATTACTCATCAACACCTAAAGCGGATGTGAGAATATTTTTCTCCTTCCAAGCGACCATAATTTCCAATCAGTAACATCCCATTGCGCTTCTGGTTTAGGTATGGTAACACCTTCATTCATCATAGTTATTTCATTCCAACCATTTTTAATGGCGTCGCATATACCTTTGTTAACGAAGTTGACATTTATACGCATACAAGCTTTCCAATAGCCATAATTTTTTCCGGTGAAAATTGATGCTCTATTGTACGTTCCCTTAGGTTTGGTAGTCATTCCTCTAAAATGTAAATCTTAAACACAGAATTAACCAGATCTCTTGATACAACTTTTTAGACGATAGGCTTCGATCTAGAGGGGGTGAATAGATCACAAATTTAACAACAAAGCTTTTGGAAAAAATTGTTTTCTAAAGTTTTATGGCACATCGGAAACAACCTGAATCAAATCATCTAACCGAACCTACTATCAAAAATCTCGGATATACATAATGTAAACAATTTGGATGATAATAAACACAAATTTTTCAACAACGATTATTTCACAAATTAATGAAATGCTAAGCTACTCGTACAACTTATTTCGAATGAACAAAAATGAATTAAAATACTCAAAGGCAATTTATCGAACACTTTATGTGCGATCGATAACGTTTGGAAATTCATTTTTTTTTGTTGATATTAAAAATCAATGACAATCAAAGTGATTATGATTACATCAACAACAACACTTTAAAAGATAATAGAAAAATAATTTCCAATCAAATTGATCAAAACAACAATGAACTCGATAATTTACAAGAACAACAATTTAAAGATATATATATATATATATATATATATATATATATATATATATATATATATATATATATATATATATATATATATATATATATATATATATATATATATATATATATATATATATATATATATATATATATATATATATATATGTAAAAAGAGAGAGAGAGAGAGAGAGAGAGAGAGAGAGAGAGAGAGAGAGAGAGAGAGAGAGAGAGAGAGAGAGAGAGAGAGAGAGAGAGAGAGAGAGAGAGAGAGAGAGAGAGAGAGAGAGAGTGTGTATGTGCGTGTGTGACAAAGATTTGTTTAGACAATTCCCCAATCAGCCTCGCTATGGGTACATTTGCTCTCCATTCAAAAATAAATTAAGATAATTGCATTTAACCTTATCTTTGGAAAAATGTTTATATAAGAGATGAAAAACTCTAACCCCACAAACCCTATGGTTTGTTGTTAATTCTACCATCCCCAAACCCTTGATCAAAGTTTGATAAAGTCACCAACAATGTTGCTACCATCCACCAGTTCTTGACTACTTGCTTGCAAGACCTCCTCGTCTTCAAGGTTTTCGCTCGGTCGAATTAATCCCTAGCACGCACTTGTTGAACTCAAGATTCACGAACACGATTTACTATCTCGCGCTACTCCATTTCAAGGAACCACCTTGTCCCAAGGCCTTCACTCGGTCAAATTCGTCTTTGCGTTATCTAGTCCGAAACCTTCAAAGCACAATGATCTTGAAGGAAAAACCCAACTTGCTTTTCTTATTTGAAACAAAGAAAGATCCCAACCAAACATTCTCGACTACACCGACCTAATTTGACATTATCAATCCTAATCTAGACGGTCACCCAATCAAAAGAATACTTATGTGTAGTTTGATTGTGTGTATGTAGAGAAGAGATGTTGAAAATGATAAGAATGCTTTGTCATTCGGGTTTTGTTTAGGTTTTACATTAGTACCTTGCTAGAATATGATGCATGTATGAGTATATATAGGTACGACAAAAAATGAGGCAAAGGGATGCAATTGAATGGAGCAAAAGTGAAATTTTTGAGAGGAGTCATCGTATGTGTCGGCCTATTAGAGCAATACCTATGAAGGTACTCAGATCGGCCTATGAATGTTTCATATAGGCCTATGAATGTGTTGTATTGACTACATGTCGGTCTAAGTAAGGTGACCTGAAGGCAATGACTAAAGACTTTTATATTGATTCGTGGGAGCCAACCTGAGATGACCATGTGTCGACCTATACTGAAGATGAAACTTCTATAGGTCGACCTGTTTACGCATGTGTCAACCTGAACTATGTTGACCACCCAAAAACTTGTTTTTCCATGCATTTTTCACAAAAATTAAGTTTTCAATGCATGCATGATGTAAACTCCTTTTCCAAATCATTTGAATGCTTCCTAATACTAAGATGCTCATCTAGAATGAGAATATACCGTTCAATATATATAATGCTACACTATCCTAGTTTTGACATTATTTAAAATCCAAAAGTGCACTCACAAATTGGACCTATTGCCTCATATGAGCTGGTCCCTTAAAGCTACTTCAAAACACCACCGTATAAGGTTATTTGCCAATGTGAGCAAACCTTTAGCACCTAAATATGTTATACACCTACTAAGACCTTTGATCCTCCCTGCATTTGTAAGGGGAACACTGACGTTTGTATTTTTTAACTAGGAGCAAAGAGATCAAAATATATTAAAAATAAGAAAAAAAATGTAAAAGATATAAACAAAAACAACAAAAAAAGAGTGCACTAGAACAACAAAAGTCAACTAACAAACGTCTAAAAATGAGAAAAACAACCCCACTAAAAATCAAAAAAGGAAAAACCAACTCACCCATTTCATAAAAAAGCTTACACTAAGACATTTCATCTCAATAAGAGCAAGCTGAAGGGAAGTAAACACGACCATTTTAAAAAACAAAATAGGGAATTTGGCAACACAACACACCTCTAAAAGTGAAGGCACCAAAGCGAGTCTCGCTCCCAGGCAAGCAAAGAAAAGACAAGGTTTGGAGTATGGGCATGAACTTATTTCTAAGTCAAACCAATAATAAAAGGTATCCAGTGATTAATCATCGTTCTTTCCCGATAAAAAGATAAATTTATCAACCACTTTTCTAATAATTCAGACTACTGAATGCTAGATCGAACCAACATTAAACATGTTTTCTTATCCTAATAAAGACCTTGATAAGCCACAAAAACTTTTAAGATAAAGCACGAGGGAGTGAAGAGATACCTACCCACCTAATCACCTAATACCAGAGTGAGGAAGCAACATCACAATGAACAAACAAGTGATCCTCTGACTCCATATTACCTAGAGAAACTGCACACCATTATCAGCAGACACAAAATAGAGAAAAATAATCACTTTAGAAAGTCCCTAATATTTTCAGTCACTAACCATCCCTGAAATCACCTAGTTCGACCTACCTTCTTCACCAAGCGCCAAAGAAAAAAGTTGATCATAGGTTATCCTAAAAGGAAAGCCTCGTGGGGGATCTGATATCCATACCCAAACATTTTGTCGGCCTTTCTTAACTACCAGCTATAAAACTAAGTAACTCCATCAGAAACTCTTCCTATTAAACAAGGAGCGAAAGCCTTTGCCTAAAGTCTCAACACAAACATCTCCTTGTTAGTTTCCCATCAACCCGCCACTAGATACTTTTGCTCTAAGATAAAGAAAAACTTTTCAAAAGAGATGCACACAAATTTTGTCCTACACAAAAACCATTTTCAGGAATTAGTTTTCAACTCATCTCCAACCACCTTGGAACAAGAAGAAGAGGCAAATCAATCCACTTTAAAAAAAAATTAAGACTTGATAAAGGGATAAACTCACATTTTAGTTACAAACTTACTTTTTAATACAATATAATAGGAATCACTTGTTTTTTCCCAATATTATACAAACAATATTCGGAGAGAAACTTACTCTTTTATCACTAAGGCTTAATTATGATCTACTTCAATTTGTTCAACTGGATTTGGATTTGAATTTGTTGTATTGTTGCTTCCAATGGCTGAACCCTTAATTTTGAATATTAAAACCATCATTACTTCTCTAATCCTACACACCAAAATTTTAAGCCAGCAACGAGCAAGTATTATTGATATAGATCCCCATATGAAGAACATAATCCACAAAAGTTGTTGAGGCAGCAATATAGAAAGAAGAGAGGTTGTGGAAAGTAATCCAAATAGGAGAAGAGCAAAGGAAAGAATCCGATCACGGCGACCACCGCGAGTCTTCATGTAGATCTTGATTCCGATTAACATGCAGTAGATGCATATGGATATCAAGAAGGTTTGCATATGAACTGTGTGAACTTCAAGGGGTGATTCCTTCTTGTTTTGATACTCAACTTGCAGAACACCAAGGAGTATTGTATCAAGAAATACAAAGATGGCATGGCATGGGATTGAAGGAATGAAACTGTCATCTTGATCCTTCAAAGTAGTTGGTAATCTACAAAGTCCGATATGACCATATATAAGACATTCTCTTGAAGAGATCTAGGGTTTTTGCTCAACTTTTTACCCAATTAATAATAATAAATAAATAAAATATGCTTCTTGTTAGAAATTTGAACCAATTAATATTAAAAAGAGAGAGTAGTACAATAAAAGAAATTTAAATACAATAAAACAAAACATGCATACCACTACTGTTTAATTAATACTGACCATTCAAAAAACTGTGTATCCGATAATAACCCAGTCTTTTTTTAATTATTTTGGTTCAGTGAAGAATCATATAAAATAGGGTTTCGATAATACTTGTTTATGAACTTTGATTAAATTAAGAAGAGAGAGGTAATAAAAAATTAGAAAAGAATAAAAAATCAAGCTGTTTACGATGTAAAGAACATAATAATAAAATAAAGAATAAAAAAATCATAATGAGTATGTGTGGAAGATATACCTTTCTTGATTATAATATTTCAGACGGTACAAGCTGTTCACTAACTTCAACTTTCTTTGGTTTACTCTCAATATTGCCACTTTAAGTCTTCTTTTTTTAGTTCTGCATATTGTATCGCCAACTTCTTCCATATTCAATTCATCAATACCATCGTTACGCGCATCCATGTCACTCAACCCTAAAGAATAATATAAAATATAGCTAGATAGGGAATGTATATATATTGAGATGTTTCTTTGATGGTTGTTCAATATTTACCATTTACTTTCTCGGTCATTGTATAGTTATTATTCACTAACGGAACAAGAGATCAATGATACGTTAAAAGGAAATTTTTTTGAGGCGGTGGTACGAGTCTCCAATATGTTGGAGTAGACTTCACTGATAAGGTTAATTCTCAAACGTTCAAGTCAATCAGGTCAATGAGGCGTAACTTGTAAGAGTGAAAATGAATGATTACATTTTATAACGTGTGACAAATTTATATATGGTGAGCTGTTAAAATTACTCTCGTTTGATCCGATGTCGGTTGCGGGAGACTATATGATTAGATCTAACGATGTTAGATGAACCAGTAATTTAAATCAAGTGCATTGCCTTCTAGTTAGGCTTCACTTGTTCACTTCCCTTCGGCAGGGTTCCTTAGGGTTGAGCCTTTGCAGTTCAATCGATTTTGTTAGATCTTTAACCGGTCCAGAACAATTGCCCCCAAGTCCTTGTTGTCACGAGTGAAGCTATAATTGCGCTGAAGCTTCTAGACTGGTTCACACATTGGAGGAGATGAACGGAGAAGTTCATTGAGTGAGAGCAAGTTCCCTCAAGAACAAACACGTTAATTATCTGTCTGTATAACTGAAACCTTTCGTCACACAAATCATCCATGTGACTCTAAGTTAAGTGGTAGAGGTGACCTTTTAAGTATCGTAAGGAATCTAGGTTTAAACAAGTTCGTTAGTAGTAATAGTGCACTTTCCTAAATTACAAATTATTGATCATATGGTCGTTTGTAATTAATATATGAAGGCCAAAAGGGTAAATCCGATCTTCTTTTACTTTTCCCACTTGTGAGACTTAAAGAACTTTTGTGTTAGATTTGTTGCATCAAACCCTAAGTTCTATCATTCCCTTTCTCCTTATTTTCACTCTTCTGTTCCGACAACTTTCACGATTTTTGGACCACTTAACGAAGCAAACCAACTGGAGCCTAAACACTCAACGAAGCAAACCAACCGGAGCCTAAACACTCAACGAAGCCAAACCAACCGGAGCCTAAATACTCAACGAAGCAAACCAACCGGAGCCTAAACACTGAACGAAGTCAAACAGACCGGAGCCTAAACACTCAACAAAGCAAACCAACCGGAGCCTAAACACTCAACGAAGCAAACCAACCGGAGCCTAAACACTCAACGAAGTAAACCAACCGGAGCCTAAACACTCAATGAAGCAAATCAACTAGAGGCTAAACACTCAACGAAGCAAACCGGAAACTGGAGTATCTGATGGACAAAGGGAATATGTCACAAGCTAAGCCTTCACCGGAACTTTGATATTCAACGGAGCAAGAGATACCATCACAAAACATAATGGGATTAACATAATCAAACGGGGTCTGGGCACTTCACGGGTAAAGCAAAACGTCATAAATGGAAAATGTCGGACCCTAGATGTTCAAAAGAGGAGCCGGAGTCTAAATGCTCGACGTAAAATCCGAAGCCTGAAGATCACCTGTAGGGGATAACCACCATCCGAAATCAGAAAGGTAATAATCTGGCTTATGTTTCAGAATGCAAATGTTTGAAAATGGCGCAATGCTCCATACGAAATGGACATGTTACGCGTTTGGGTAGATGCTATGCACGCATGCAGATGCAACGGAACCGGATCGGCAAAATAAATGCCGGAAACACAGAATCCTTCCTGCTGGGAAAGGAAAGCTACCCTGCCGGAGATAAACTTCGCATGCCAATAACAAAATGGACTTAAATTGGAGAGAAAGGCCTTGGATGGCTTCCGGGAAACCTACAATTCTGTGGGGAAATCAACTCGACTGGAGACCTTAGTCTGCGCTGCTAAAAGTTGATGGTTTACAGACAAACTGCTGGAGGGCGGAAAATGCCAAACGCTGTTGGAAAGAAACTCCACACCCACTCAATATCTTGACTTGCTGGGGAGTAAGCACGCATCTGTACTCTGTGAGGGTTAGCTGTGTACTGAACCACTGTCGGGGATAAACATACACACTACCTGCATACACCTACACTGGGGTAGAGAATCAACCTTTAACTGTTGGGGATAACCCTGGTTGGGGAAAACAAGCTCCATCCATACCTTCTTAGAAACTTGCCCCAGTATCATTCGACGTGCCCCAGTCCAAACCCTAGAACACCTTCTATTGAAAAGAAAAGCTTGCCATGAAACAACCTCGAGATGGCTTGCCCCTGAACCTGCAACAACTTCTGATAAACCCTGAAAATACGGAGAGGAACAACTTCCCTCATTTCCAATTTTGCCATAGCTTATGGGATCTCCGTAAAATCTTCCCCTAAAGGAAACCTGCAATGAACTGTACCCTGATGGTTTGATATGAACTGCTTCAGCATTTTGAACCTCAAAGAGATATCCCAGATTAACTGCCTTCCAGCCAGAAATAACTTATGTGCTCTTAGGGTGGTCTGCCCCTGCCTTATAAGGACTCTGCCCCTGATTGGCTGATTTGTGGAGCAGTACCCATGGTTGCGAGAGATTTACCGAATCTCGACCTGATTGCCCCAAATTAACTGACTTTTGGATGGCTGACTCCCATGATATGATCATTTGATATAGCTTTCCCCGGTTCAACGAGGTACTCTGGCGCTCTGCATTCTATCCTGATCGAACTTTCCATTGTGGAAACTTTCCTGCTGTCAAGCGCTTACTCGCAAGTAAAACAAATTGCTCTGCATAAAAGATATATTAAATGCAATGCATATGACAGTTTTGAAATCCAAGTCTGTTCACTGGAAAAGGGAAAAATAATTTGTGACATATAGTGAATGAATCATTTATTCAAAATGTCAATCATTAGTACCAATGTTGCAAGAAGAACCCTTTTAGGAGTCAGTTTTGATGCGACCTTTACCGAAGTATGCTTTCGAAATAAACCTGCTTCGATTAGGACTTTCGAAGGTTGTGGCATGGTTAGGTTCGCGGCTTGAAAGAAAGGATAAAGGCTCAAAATTTATTTTAACCCACCCATTCTCCTTGATTTTCTTCGATCCTATGTTCAACTAATTCAACACGAGCACTTACCTCTTAAAGGTTGAATGATAGGAGCGATGGTTCGAGAAACCACAAGTTTTTGGAGTGACAATCACTCGCTTTTCGTCTTTTGGTGCCTGGAGTCACACGACTTGTTCTTTCGAGGATTTTTCTTCGGTAATCCTTTTTGCTTTTTTCATTTTTTTTCTTCTTTTCCCTAACTTTTGCCTGGACTGACTCTTTTGAGTTTCTTTTGATTTTTAAGTCCAGCGGGATGCCCTAATTTTTGCCTAAGCCACTTGTTTTCAAGTTTCGACTCAGCGGGCTTTTGATTCTTTTTGCTTCTTTTTTTGGATAAGTCGTGTGACATTGGTTGTCTGAATCTTTGGGTTATAATGTGACTGTCTCACTCCTGAAGTTTAACCATTGTGGTTTTTTAGGCACGACCTCTAGGGGTGTGATTGTTCCTCGAATGGTAACGCTTTTTGTAATTTGGACGCTCGGTCAAATTAGCTAACATCTACCCTGCCTCAGGTTAAGATTGAGGGTTTTTTCGTTTTCAGAAAGAAACTCCTACTACAAGGCTCAAAGGGGTTGACAAGGGATTATCTTCCTTATATCTCTGGTGTTTAGGAATTTGAAACAATGCATGTACATCATCAGCAGGTTTTATTCAAAAGCATACAATCGGAAGCTTGCGCGTCTTTCAATTTTGTCATCCTCCCTGGATTCCGCTTAAACAAGTGTTTGACATCTGTAAAAAGCAATTAGTGAACACGGATGGATTTAATCAAAACATGTATATTCATTTCATTATCATTATCAATTGAAAACAAACAAGTTTTACAAATGAGATTTGCACTTTAAACAGGAGAGAAATTACAAATGCTAAAGAAATAACAGGATAAAACAAAGATTGCCAGCTTCTGGGAACTGGTCTTTTGTCTTGACTTGCTGCGGAATCAGCCATCTTCAAAATTACTTGTCGAAGTTGGTCTGATATTCTTCTGCACCTTTGCTCCTGGTGAATTCCTTCATACCACGAACTGATACACCCTCCTGGCTGGATGAAGAAAGACTGTTAATCTGAATACCCTGAGGCGTGATCGAGAACATATTGGAGTTCAGCAGAGTCTGAACTTGACTCTTAAGCACCTTGCAGTCTTCAGTTGAGTGCCCCTGTGCCCCAGCGTGGTACTCACAGCGGGTGTTGATATCAAAACCGGGCGGATATGGTGGAATTACTGGACTAACCTTCTTTGGCATTATCAACCCACCGTTGACCAAATCTGGTAACAACTGACTGTACGATGTCGGCAATAGAGTAAAATGCCTCTCTGGCTTCCTTGGCCTTTGCCTAATGTGCTGGCGCGGCGGGTGCCGATATGATAGTCGATTCAGACGCGCAGACCTTAGAGATTGCTGCCTCTGAGCAATTGGAATGTCTGGAGGTTGAATCTGAGATGCCAAGGAACCCTTTTGTTTAGGTACCTTCATCCTCAGGCTTGTTCCTGGAAGCGGCAACATCTGTGGGCATGGAGATTCTGAGGTCATAGATTGCAGGACATATTCTTGACTTGATGCAACTTTAGGGGTTTTCGCTTCTTTTGCAATAGATGGAATAACACCCCCTGGCACACCTACACCGCCCGGTGCAAATTCAATCGCCTTTGCATCGATCAAGTCTTGAACTTGGTGCTTAAAGGCTTTACAGTCCTCAATATTGTGCCCCAGTGCCCCAGAGTGGAAGTCACAATAGGCACTTGCATCATAACCTGGTGGAAGCTTACCAGTCAGCGAAGACAAAGTCTGTGGCTCAACCAATTGAAGCTGAAGCAAGAATTGCAACAACTGAGCATAATCCATAGGGATCTCATCAAAGACTCTATTTCATGGTCTCGTCTTTTGAATATATCTTCTGGGGTTA